TTTGTTAAGAAGTACTGTTTTAGGTTTCTCTCTTTTTGTAAATTATTTTCTAAAAAGTTGAAGAGTTTTGATCAATTTGCATAACATAATAAATACTTGAGCCCTTTGTGGTTTTCAGGGCCAGCTGTTTTCTCTAGCTTTAGCTCTATGATTAAGGATTAAGGGATGCAAAATGATGAGAAATGCACAGGGCAATGCTGCCTTTGGAAGATTTAACACTATGCTGAGGACTTTTATATTCTCTGCATTTCCCTTCCCTTTACAGGTAAAATAAACAAGAAAACTACCAAAAAGGCCATTCAAAGAGTATAACTCAACATGTCAAAGGCAAGTTTTATTTGAATCTATTTCAAGAAAGTATTCTAATATTCATATTCACACACATTACAAAACCTAAGCATATACATGCAAGTTCCTGAGAAATCCCAGTATAGGACAACTTCTCTGTGAATCTAAATATTTCTATCCATGTGAGTACATGTAAGAATACTTGTGTTTTGGTGTTTCAATGTAGTATTATCTTGTATGTTTCAGCTTTTTTTTTTTGCTTTTTTTTTTTTTTTTTTTGCTGGCATTTTCAAGGTTTAATATTCACTTGGAAAGAGGGGGAGCCTTGGAATTCTTTTGAGACATGCCTTATTCATCTTGAAGTCATCCTGAAAATGTGGCAGGCCATTAATACTTTTGTAGAGAAACACAGGCTCCATTTTTCCAGTGTAAATATATGCTGAGGTCTGTCTTTAAATGTGTACCTAGGAGTAAGAAAGGTTGAGAAAAGAGAGAATGATACTTTTGCCCTGCATTCAACTTTGAGTGTTATGAAGAGAAACAGTTTACATAAAATATTTCTACAATAAGGAGATTCAAAGGCTTGAACATTTTTGTGATCACTCCTGTCCTTTTTTTCAAGACTATTATTATCTCTGATTCTGAGCCAGGTACACTATTTACTTAGAAGCCATTGATTCGATATTTATTTACAACTAGTAGGCAAGTTAAAGAATGTAAAATACATGATTCTTCTGATAATTGTTTTTTAAATCTTAGGTTTATTTGGGGGAATTTCTTCCTTTTTCTTTATGCCAAGAATGGCTAATGCTTGTGAATGTCAAGGGACATAAAACCCCATTACATGAATTTCCCAAAGTCAAAGAATGCTGAATTAATGCTTTAAGCAAAGCTGTGACATCAAAGCATAGAGTGCTACAATTTAGTTCAACAGTTCCCTGTAGATCTGGCTTTGTTCATTGTAAGTAATCTTTTAAAAAGTTACTTAAAAATTCAAGAGCTGTATGGTTTAGAAATTTAGAAAGTCAAGTGATTTCAAGGAAGGAATATTTGTTTTTCTAATTGCCATTGGTGGCTGGAAGTCATGAAACAGTAACCAGCTTATTTTTAGCAATTTTTCTGTTTGATTCCTTTTATGTAGAAAAGACAACAACTGCAGGCATTATGAGGAAACTAGGGGAGATTAAAGAGAAATCACTGTAGAAACAACTTTTCAGATAACTGCATCATTCTTAGTACTCCCTGGTCCGAAAATGGTTCAACTTGTCTGAAAAATGAAGAGGTCAAATATGTGCACACAGCCACTTTGCCAAGTGTGGGTAAGTTGATATCTATGAAGATTTATGAGTATCCCCTCACTACCTGTCTCCTCCATTCCTTGTACTGTCTAGTCTGACTCAAGTTTATTTTTCTTTAGTTAAAGCAGCTACTAAGAATAACACAAATAAAGAACTGAATAGTTAAATGGAGTGTGTATGTATGTGAGAAAGGAGAGAGAGAGAGATTAGTATTTAATTAAAATGTACCAAAATGTATCTGTATATACTTCTGACACACAACTGCCTATTTACCTAATGATACTGATACTAAACAACTGATTTTGAAAAGTATATAAAAATAAAAATAGACACAACATATTGGAAAATAATAACAATTTTAACTGGGTTCTAGAATTATATGATCTTTTCCAAACATGGTCCAGCCATAAAATTATTTTATTTTTTCCCTTCAGAATGTAGCCAAGAAACAAACATCTATCTTTGCTTTCACTGCAGGAAAGAACCAGTGTCTGGATTAGTTCCAAGCCATCCAGACAGCTATTTCAACTGGAACAAGTGACCTTTGGAACAGACTAGAACATAACAGCCTGGCCAGACAGAGGGGAGGGAGTAGGCAGTTGGGAAGGACCCCAACATGTTCTTCTGAAAGCTCATTTGAAATAAGAGGACAATAAAAAGTTAAGGACAGAAATATGAACTTAAAAATATGTCAAACCAGTAAAACCTGTGTGACCACAATACGGGATTCAAGAAAAGTTAGAGTTTTTAGCTGTCATTCTTTCATATACACGCTATATATATATCTAACCCCATGAGCACGGGCCCTGTCCCTTAATTACATAACATTCATGTTTGAATCGTCATAGCCTCTTTGACACTAAGTAACCATTATTTTTTTTTTCCTCTATCAATTGGGCCAGACTTCCTTAGTCTATGATTCTATGATTATTGTTAGACAAACTTCAATAATTACTAAGAGATTTATTTAGCAAATTATTGCTACAATAGAAGTTAAAATAATAATAAATATTTTATTGGAAATTAGATAATGGTTATCTTCTCCCAACATTTATTTGAAGGCATGCTGTTCTTTTCTAAGAGAACATAAAACATTTAAGTTCACATCATTAGCAAGAAGCATCTAAATAAATATGCAATCTTTTAATGAATGCTTTTGGACAAAGTGTTGTACTTGGTAACAAAGAGGAAGGACGTCAAGGCAATACTTTCTTCAAAATGGTTGGAAAATGGAGAGCAAAGCTTTTTAAAAAATGTTTTATTAAAAATACAAAAAGAAAGATGTTTCTTAGACAATATCTTATTGATTTTACAAAATATACTATCATAAGTTGATTATGTCCAAGGTACTAAGAAAATATGAGATTTCAGAGTGTTCTTTCTTGGAGAACTTTGTTATTCCAGCAGGTACTGGAAAATATTTTTAAGAAGACAACTTCTATAGCTTCTAATCAGGCCTTCTTGAATGAAAACATAAACCTTTAAAAGTCTTAATGAATATTCCAAGATGTCTATAGAATTGCTTGAAAACTAGAAGATTTGGTTCAATGAACTTGGCATGTAGATCTGAATGAATGCCAAAAATACAGCTAAGGTAAAGAAAATAAATTTTTACAAAATTTGTGTTACATAGTCTTGGTGGTACTATTAACTGACAAAAAACACAATGTTAATGATACAGAAATAAGAAATTTGGTTATTTCAATTTATCACGTAATGTCAGAAAAATGGCAAGTGAGCCTTTAATCTCAACTCCTTCTTAAGTATGCCATTAGAATTGGCATAGGATTGATTAGAAGTATTGATTAGAAGCTAAGAAGTAGAGCAGAACAAAATGAATCCAGAGAAAGACAATACTGTCTGCTACTTACATAATATTCGTATTTCTTAAACTGTATTTTGAAAGCAAGAAAATAGACCATGAATGATTTTAGGAGGTTGTGTTCTTGCTAGATTAAGAAAATCCCACTTGGAATTCTAGAGAAATTATGCTTTTGGGGAAGGAGTTTCATTAGTGGATTATCACGGACCTTAACAACAAAAGATCAAAACATGAAATAAATGTACAAGAATTAAAGTTTGTGTCAAATTTGTGAGATGGACGTTAGAGGGGGGAGATTTTAAATATTTGTCTGAAGTTATATAGGAAGAAGACACTTTCTGCATGAGACACAGGGGTCCAAGGGCAATTCCAACTGTGACCATCACATTTATGAGCTCCCTATAAAGGGTGTAGTTTAGGTGGAGTCTGAAATTCAGTTGTCAAAAATGACTCCAAGATTCTTCAAGTAATTTAACAGAGGATGAAGCCCAAAATCATGAGTAAATATTGAATCTGGAAGTATATGTGGAAACATTGGAATAGAAAAACATTAACAGCCAGTTTTTTCAGGGTTATGCTAAGTAACATAAAAACGAATAAAAAAAATCAGTATTTAGAAATGAAACATATTATCTATCAGAAATCCTACTGAAAATACATTCCCATAATATTATTCATTTTTTTAAGAAAAATCCAAATCCAAATAAAAGAACAAAAAGAGATGAAGAAAATTTTTGCCATTGGGCTATTCTGATAAACTTCACACTGGATGTCTGATAGCTGACATCAGCCAGTACGAGGTACCCAGACTTAAACATACTTAAATATAAGTGTTCCTGGGGAAGTTTTTGGTTCACACAGTGTTGTAATACATATTGGCTTTTATTCATTAACTTATATGCTTCTCATACTTTTACTTTATGACAATAAACTGACTGAAATCAGGGATCCTGTCAATTTAACGCTACCTGCTAACACATGTTAGCAAACTTGCTAGATGTTTTCTTACCCCATAAAGTACATGTTATTCATATAAAGTGAGTAATAAATGAATTTTATGGAATGAATTGATGAATTGTTCCTTGGTGTTCAAAGGCTGTGCATGTGAGTCCCGTGTCCATACAATACTTAACATCGTGTTTTAAATTGATTCAAAACTTCTTCATGATTGTATTCTTAGTCATAATCCGCATCCTATTATCAAGTTCCACCTTTATAAAACTGTCGGCCAAGACACCCTTTGCATTACTGCTAAGTTAAAAAAAGCCTCCAGTTATGAAATTGATATTTACATAATACAGTTTTTGCACCAGATGCTTCTGGTAAAAGGAAGCAAATCATGACCTCTCTCACCAGCAGGATCAGTCCACTGTTTTCACAACTGAATGACATTTGCTCATAAAGCTAAAATGTGTGTGGGCTGCAAGAAATGAAGTTAAAGGTAAAGCCCTTTATTTCTTCTTTGCCTTTCTCTCTGACTCGCTCCCTTTCTTTTAGCTCCATTTATGATCAAGAAAATCTGTTACATAATTAGCTTCAGAATGTGTCTATATTAATTACAGATTATTTAACAAATGAATTATGCAATTTAATTTATTTAAAATCATTTATTTTCAGGAAAACCAAACATATCATTGAGTTTACATAGAAATACAATTTTCAACCAGATCTTCATAAAAACGCACTGGAGAAATAAATGTTCATAATTAATGACCAATTATGTACTATTTCATCATGCCAGTAGCAGAGTTGATTACCATTAAAAATTGGTAAAGTAACAGATCTTAAATGTGCAAATACCATCTCAGTACTCTATTGTGTTACCATTGATAATAAATGGCCACTAAATATATACCTATTACATAAATCTTTTTAAAGTACAATAAAAATACAAATTCTATCTGTTAAAAAAAGCCACTTATATGGCTTCTAAACATCCTCATTATACAAATTCCAAAATACTATCTGACAAACAAAATTATAAAGACTCTTCCTTATGAAACATATATTGTCCTCTAATTAAGGTACAACTTAGCAGATAAAAGAAACTAAACAAGAAGGCTCATATATACCATATAACATTAAGGAAAAACAGACAAATATATATTGCATAAGCATATTTGATTTCTTTTCCTAGTGAAAATGTACCTTTAACACTTGAAGAAAATTCCCGTGAGTAAATGATAAATCTATTTTTGAGGGTTACCCCTAATTTAAGTCACATTTTCATTAATTTAATTTATTTATCTTATAATGTGATGAACCAAGTTAGAAATTTTGATCATAAATTTTTGCTTTACTGAGTACAAATTAGTCTGTTATGTAATGGGTAAAGGTATAGAAAACAAATATTTTTAAAAGTCTAAGTTCATCAGCACATCAAGAATGAAATGCAGGAGAATTTTATTGCTCATGTTCAAGACTAAACTGAGCAGTAACGAGGGTTTTTTTAAAATGAGATTTTTGACTTTAACAAAACAAATACAAATTGAATTTACCAAATAATATTGATAATTCATATAGAATGGGTGTCACAGATTTTAAAGTATCAAAACCAATGGGGCATCACAAAATAAACTTTGGTGAAAAATATCTTCATCAAAGAAGAAAATATGAGAAGAGTAGTCCTTATGTAGTGAGAAGAAATATATTTGGTAAAGTAAATATGGATAATAGACACTGAATCTATAGATAGCATATATTCCAAATGTTTTTTAGGAAATATCAAATCAGATGATGCTTAGATGTTATAGTAATATAACTTATCTCATTTGGAATGAAATTTAAAGTTTTTTTAATAAATAGCAAATTTTCATTTTTTCATTATCTTTGTAAAACAAATTAAATATTTAGAGTATAACTGATCATAACTAACATCACCTTGCATTTACTAATAAATACTCTAAATACATTTGGTTTATTATTGGAATTTATATCCTTATAATTTTACCTGCTAGAAATTACTGACCTTGTGGCATTATGTTTAAAGTTTACATTTTCCCAGTGATGTGAACAGTATTTATACATAAAATGACATCTGTCTAATGAATAGTAACATGTTTGTTGGTTTGAAAACAGACCATGTTTAGTTTGGCATTGGCATATCTCTTCAGAATTTAAAAGTTATCTTTAAGGTATGGCTTTTGGGAAATCATTAATAAACCAGCAATCTGGAAAATGAATACAAGTTTCAAGATGCTAACTAAATAGAACTCAGACACAAGGCAGGTATTTGTATAATATGTCTTTCAATTACAAATTCATATACAGTAGAAATAGAAAGGAACATAAAAGTATGATCTACTTTATAGTAAGTTGTTTTTAAAATAAAAATTATAGATCAATAGTGAAGGTGAGGAAATTTAACTGAAAAAATTTTCAAAATATTAAAATATTCAAAAACATATTGGCACATGAATAATACCTATCTTAAAGTAATAATAAATGACATGTGTATAGAAACACATTTAACATGAATCAGGATTTCTTGTTCTTGATGTCAGCACCTACTGTCTAATGGGTCGAGACAAAATACTGTGCCTTCAAGAGTTAGTCCCATTTTGAACCCCTCCTGTAAAACAGAATAAAATCATTAATATCCAAAATGCTCACAGCAAAATAAAATAAAATAAAATCAGTGAATAAAAAAGACTACGCACTGAAGTTGAAATATTCATGCTTTGATCAACTAATAATAACTATATGTAAAATGTTGACTTGTTGAATTTTTATATAGGTGTATAAGCACTGGTAGTTCTTTCAGACCCATTAACACTTTAATGTTTTAAATATATGTGAGGTTAGCATGCATGAGAGACAGAAGAAAATACATAAAATTAAGACACAGGTTTCTTTTTCAGAAAAGGTTAGTTACTACATCATTCTATCGCAAATGAAATCTGTTAGCTTTAAAAATTATTATTAATTTAAATATTATTAAGATAGTTAGACTTCAAATTGATGAGAGGTTCAAGATATCCTGATGATTTTCACCTTTTCTTCCCGGTTAGCACTGACCAGAGCCTTGGTAAAATACTTCTTTTAAATGGAATGCCATATCCTCTGTGGAACATACAACTGCAGATTATTTTGCCATGGAGAAAACTTCCCCTACTAGCCTTGCTGTCGCTTGTAGCGGACTGGCTTCTTTGACTCCTACTCTCCCTTGCATATTTTAGAAGTTAAGTTGTCTTTGATTTATTGAGTGTAAGAACACAATTGCTATGAAAGTGTTTTTCCACCAAGATTTTGAGTTAAAAGTTAATGGCAAAGGAGTCTGTCCTTCTCCACTCCAATCTCTCTATTGTTTTAATTGCATAATATAATTGAACTGCGGGTCATCTCTTCTTAGCACCTTTCCTCATTCCTACCCTTTCTTGTAAATCTCTACACATGGGCCTACAAAAAGATGAAAAGCACAGACTTGCACTGATCGATGAAAGTGGAGGTTACATTGTAAATCTCCTTGTAGAAGCAAATGTGGTAGTGCTCTCTATATACTCTACCTTTTTTTTTCTTACTAACAGAACTGAAATGAAATGTTTCAGAAAGGTAATTTGTAATTTCGAGTGGCCATGTGACACATTATTGGCAAATAATATGCAGATAGCAGTGTATTCCTAAAGAAAAGAAAATGCCTCTTAAAGGTAACCATTGGTTTTCACCTCTGCTTTGGGTGTTTTATTCAATTAGACTGACTATATTTGCTGGTATGTTAGCTAATTGTGTATCTTTTTGCATCTCCCCAAATTACTTTTATTTAGAATAGTTATGTAAATGTTCTTATCTTTCTCTAAATCCAGTGTAAACATCATCATATGGAGGAGGAAGGCAGTTACAAAGCTGTAAGCCACACTTTGTTATTAATGTTCAAAGAACATTCTTCATTATGTTTATAGCACAGAGACTACTACTATACAGCAATATAGTGATGTAATCATTGTGAAAGTTTTTCAGAAGTCTTTCCAGTACTTGGAATACAATCTTTATTTAGTTGAGTAAATATGAGAGTACTTATCATTATTTTTTAAAAATCTGTTCTTATCACAAAATACATTTTGTCATATTTATTTATATTTCTCAAACAGTCAGCAAATACTTAGAAAAATAAATACTTCATAATACTGTAAGTAAACTTTTCTTTAAAATTATTTTATTTGGATATCTGAAGATTTGTGTATTATGTCATCTTCTGGTATACTATAAATGGTAGAGAGATGATACATTGATAGACAGATAATGACAGATAGAAAGAGTGTGGAAATGTTTGATACCATATGGTACTTTTAAATTGTATCAGTTCATTCTGCTAGTAAACCAGTATCACTTCAATTACACTGAAAATACTATTTGTCAACGTGTTATCAATATTGGAAAAGCAGAATAGCAGTCAAAGTAAAATAGAGGTTAATTACTATTTTAATAATAAAGTGTTAGTATATGACTTACGATAATATCTATCTCTATATTGACTTTTTAGGGATTCTTACATATTATAAGGTTTGTTGATTTTCTTTTTTCCTAAGATAAAATTTCCCACACATTTCCTGTCTTCTTTGTAAGTCCCATTTTGCAAATCACAATTTAATAAACTCCAAATCATTCCATATCCTCTTGAGCTTCAAACCTCTTAATAAAAATGATACTTTATTTATGCAGTGATGGGAATTACCATAAGCTAATGTCACACAAAAGAATGATTAATTAAAATATTATTCACCATATGAGTTTTATATGTAATATTTTTATGAATTTTCTTATTTTGAAATAGAAAAGCATATCAAGGAAGGAAAAAACCACTGCACTTTGAGGTATGTCTTTTTTTCTATCTATAGAATTTTAAAAATGATTTTAATGATAACATGAATATCTGTATATTTATGCCATATAGTTTTCTTATGTAAGTAATTTATTACATATATAGTTTTATATCTTCCTCTTTTCATCTTTGCAGACCTTGATTATTCTAAATTCCCACAAAACTAATTTATTATGACTATATAAAATGCTATTTATTTTTACAATGATTGCTTCCCAGCATTTTAAAATTATGAATAATGTTGACTAGGTATTTTTATTCATAGAGATTGAACACATTTATAATTACTTTTTCTTGAGAATAGATTGCTTTAAAGTTTTGATATCAAATAGAAATAAAAGTATTAATAACAAGTTACTCTTTAAAGAGATTGCTAGGCCATAGTTACCTCTGAACTAACTTTGGCCTGCCAACAATTTACAGTACTTGTTTTATTACACTTTCATTTGTATTGATTGATTATTAGTTTAAAAAATAATCTGCTAGATTAAAATGGCATTACAGTTCTTTATTTGATTTGCATGTTTACTTTGATTAGACAGAACATGTCTACATATGTGTAAGCCACTGGTGGTCTTCTTTTGTGAAGCTTTTTTATTTATCTGTTGATTCTTTAGTTTCCTAGTCATTTGTCTAATTGCTTTAATTACATATATGTAATGTATTTATACATTTTTAGACAGTAAATGTTAAAAAATTGGATACTATATGTCTATATTTTTCTTTTTCTTATAAAATTTTCTTATCAATTCAAAAGTCTGATGAATATTCAGTAATATTTTAAACATCTTAAAATGTTGATTACTTCTGAAATTTATCTCGGCATTTGCTGTAAGTTTCAGCAGTACATTGATCTTCTCCCAGAGTACTAGCCAGCTGACTTAACACCACTTGTATGTGATTTTTTCATCCTTTACGAACTTGCCATGCTTGTTTTTTAATGTATTAAATTATTATAGCTTACATGTTACAGTGTGGCCTATCAATACTATTCCACTTAGCTTCCTGTTGGTAACATGTGCTGGACAGTTTAAATTATGTCAAATCAAATAGCTACATTATTGATTTCAAATAAATGTTTAATTTTCTAACTGCTTATACTGAAATATGGTTTAACATTTCTGCATAAATGCTTACATGCATGAGACATTTCTGTGATTTCAAACTTAATAATTCAATTCTCTTAAAAGTAGCTTAGTCACAATACTCTAAATGAAAGATGAAAACTAAATGTCTCACTAAGCTTATTAACTCAATATGGTATTCACAATCCACTGCACTATATTAAGTTTTTATAGGATATGCAAAGATATAGTAGCTACATGTGTGCATTAGATTCATTAGGCTAGCAAGATTAATAATAAAAGCCATCATAGAGTTTAGATGAAGAAAATATTATTTTACTTTTGTTAAAGTGACCTTGCCACTAAATCTTGGACTAAAAGAAACAATCATGGCCAGGTATGGTGGCTCACGCCTGTGGTCCCAGCACTTTTTGAGGCCTAAGTGGGTAGATGGCTTGAGCCCAGCAGTTCAAGCACAGTCTGGGCAACATGATGAAACCCTATTTTTAACAAAAAATACAAAAATTAGCCATGCGTGGTAGTGCATACTTCTAGTCCCAGCTACTTAGGAGGCTGAGGAGGGAGGATTGCTTGAGCCTGGGCAGTGGAGGTTGCAGTGAGCCAAGATCACGCCACTGCACTCCAGCTTGGGTGGGGCGATAGAGTAAGATTCTGCCTCAAAAAAAAGAAAAGAAAAGAAAAGAGAAAAGAAAAGAAAGAAAAAATAATAAAGTGAACAATGCAATAGTGACTAAGTCATCGAAAAATAATCTTAAAATATGGTTTATGAAACCTCTTTAAACATAACTATCAGATATACCCATATGAAGCTGTTGTTTGAATTTTTATTAAATAAAGCATGCAAATTTTAAGGTTTCAGCTTTAAAAATTTGTACGTTGTTTAAAATTGTTATAAAAATAATATACCAACCATCTCTGGCGCTACCCACCATGAAAGCAGTAAAGAATTAAAAAAGACATTAAGAAAATATTAGAAACAGCAAAAGCAAAAACATCACAGTTTAACATTATTTGAGTGTCACATCACTCAATCATCCCAATACAGTGCGTCTCACACTTGGTTCCAACAAAATCTGGAAATAGAGGCTTATCCTTAAAACTCAATAAATTTTTTTTCCCAATTTTGGGAAAATCTAAAAAATTCATAGAAAAGTACTCTGTATTACCTGTGTAACCCTTGAGAATAAATACTACCACATAAATATTTCTTTGTTACTACAAAAGCATTAGTACCAGATAGTACATGTCCAATGGGTAAAACTAATGTAAAAGGAAAGGAATTGATTTCATATGAAATACAGCATTCTTGCTAAATTATCATGCACCATTTGAAAGTTTCATAGTATTTGAAATATAGAAAAGAAGTAGGAAATCTGTGCCATCAAACAGTATACATGTTGAAATCAATAGAAATTTTAAAAGGTGGTTTTAGTTTCAACCAGATAAGATCATCCATCCTCTACTAGGGTTGCAATTTGACTTTCATTTAATTTATAATTTATTGAATTCATAATTTTATAAAAACTATAAGACAAGTTGTTTATAATATTTTTGTCAATATTTAAAAATTGTAAGTTAATACTAAGGATCTAAAATATTTTTTTATGTAAAAGGGGATTAAGAATCATTCAACTTGAGAAACACTGTTTCAACAGATTCTTTGACAACCTGAAGGCATATGTTAAGTAATTCAACTTTTAAATTCAGGCATGTTATTACATCTTGAACAATAATTAATTCATGTATTACACAGAAAATGAGATAGCTACACAGCTGCCGTCAAAAATGAGTAAAAGGGCATTTAAATTAACTTTCTAAGAAGGATTGTAATTATCAGTGATAGATCAGAGTTCACCTATAATTGTTTTTTCTAGGAAGTGAGGCATTGAGAATGAATGTATTAAGCCAAGACTAATAAACAAAAATACCTCATTCTCCTTACTTTAGTGTCTTCATTGTCTCTTCTCAATCAGCTTCATATAATTGGTGTCTGTCTGGATTCTACCATATATAAACTTTTTGATGAAAAATAGGATATAATAACTTCACCAAAATGTAAAGGGCAAATATAAAGAGAAGACTTTATTCTGGGGTTTATAAGACTATTTTTAAATCATGGCCCATAGTGCAAAGCATTTAAAACCAATTTCTGTAAACTGCAGACCAATTTAGAACAAAAAAGTAAAAGGAAGAGAGAGAAATGAAAACCCAACTGAACTACATTCCTAAAGAAGTTGTCACTGGGTGTCTGCTTTTTAAATAAAAGCCCAAAAGTTATGAACTACAGCTACAATGCTTCTTTTCAGAGAGAATAATTTCAATCTTACAAAGATTTTCCCTCATCTACCCATTTACAATTTTCAAATTCGTAATTGTTAAGACTGAGATCAAATCTTATAAATCTAATGCAATGACTTTTTAACTCTAGATTTCAAAACAATGAACCATTAGAATCCATGCCATTTTGTATTAAAAAAAAATGAACCATCTTATTGCCATTGTAAATTGAACCATTAAAAAAACCAACGACCTTATCCTTAGCAATTGTAGGAGTATTTTTAGGACTAACTGTATATTATTATTTTAAAGTAATTATTTTAAGTGAGTTTTTATAGTGAAAATAATTAAAGGAAACCATAGTTTTAGTACATAACATTCTCTTTGTTCCATATCAAAATAAAATAAATCATTTATGGGCCAGTCAGTCACAATAGTCACCTGCATCTCATCTAATTTTGATTGAATATCTGGAGGGAAATCTGCTGCTCCACAGTTAAATGGGTCAAAAGGTTCTGCTCCAAACAGGTCCCGTTCTAAAAGGAAGGAAATAATTTAGTAAATGAAATAACAAGTGAGCTGGAGTGAGTTAGATTTCAAAGGCAGGATTATATAAATGAATATTTACATGATCAAATGAACCACTAATCCACACTTACACTGTATGTGGGGCTTTCCTGAGCTTAGACAAGTTAAACATTAATAAGGAAGAAAAGACCCATTTTATGATATTAAAAAGTTTTATTATAAAGAATTATTATCTAGAGAGATTTCTGTGTTTTTACTGAAGATTTCTTACTATCAAATTCACCAAAGAGCTGATAATTAATATGTTACAACACCTATATTTTATTGAAGCAATTTAAATTTGCTAAAATTAATGCGCTACTCATTGAGGCTACCCTAATTCCATTGATTGATGCCTTGCAACACAATAGTTAAGCAATATGTAGGACTAAGTAGACTTGTAAGTAGCTCTACTCAAAGTTCATGTACTCTTATCTCCCCTTTTATCCAGAGAAAATTTTAAAGCACATTGTCTCATGTAGTATGAAATATCACCTTTCTAGATAGTCACAATGAGATAGTTTCTTTAAAAATGCCTCCTATCCCAGAAATACATTTCTTTTTTAAAAGCAGCAGGGATGCAGTGTCAAAAAAGCTTTCTGTACATATGTTCTAAAGTATGCACTACTTTTTTTATCACTAAAGAAGTATCAAAGTTGAAAGTGATGTTTGTAATTGATAGATTTGGGCCTATTACGGGATTTTTAAAATAAAACATTCTTCAGGAATTTCTTTCCTCCGAATCAATTCAAATGTATCCTTAATTGGAAAAACATTAAATTATATATGAAAATGGGTATTTATAACATAGTCATACCTTCATTTTGCAGAGAACTTTACATTCTCTAAATTCAATGCCATGTAAGAAATAATATTTATGCTACTTGATTTCTGCCATATCCTCTAAAATCACTCTGTGATTCTCATTGTGAAGGAGTCTTACTTTTCCAGTCTTCATGTTTTTTTTTCCAGATTCTTGTATTAAATAAGTTAATAAATGTGAAATTTTTACAAGCTCCTTGTACTTGCAGGTATTGTATAAATAAGGGGAACATATAATTTTTCATCCAAATGCAGATACTTTTAAAAGTAAAAGGATCATTTTCAATAGTTACACTGGGTAAAAATCTATAAGCCAGGGCTATCCTAATAAAATGGGAATTTATTGTTACCTTATATATAACTGATGAGTATTACTATTGCTGTTATCTATTTTCTTCAGTTTAGTGTTCCTCAGGCAATCAATTGAAATTTAGCTTTCAAAGGATCTTTTCTTCAGAGAAATGTCCTGGTTTCCACTACACCATAAGCATACTGAATAATGCTTTTCACCTAGTAGGTGTTTGTTAAAAAATGAATTGATGAAAGGGAAGATTTGGTCAAAAGGTTCCGCTTCAAACCCATCCCGTTGTAAAAGGAAGAAAAAAATTTAGTAAACAAAATGACAAGAAATGACTTGGAGGGACTCACTTATATAGATTATGTCTATATAATCTCTATTTCTCTGTCTATTAAACTTTGATACTCAGGAATATGTAGACATTGAAAAAGCTATCAAGGTGTTACTGGAGCACTCTTGCTATGCTTCAGCAAAGAGACTGGCCATGTTTTACCCTTGCCCTAGAGATCTGTGGAACTTTGAACTCGAGAGAGATGATTTAGGGTATCTGGCAGAAGAAATTTCTAAGCAGCAAAGCATTCAAGATGTGACCTGGCTTTTTCTAAAAGCATACAGTCATATGCATTCACAAAGAGATAATATGAAATTGGAACTTATGTTTAAAAGGGAAGCAAAGCATAAAAGTTTGGAAGATATGCAGCCTGACTATGTGGTAGAAAAAGAAAACCCACTTTCTAAGGAGAAATTCAAGCCTGCTGCAGAAATTAGCATAAGTAAAAAGGAGCTGAATGGTAATAGCCAAGACAATGGGGAAGATGTCATCAGCACATATCAGACATCTACAGCAGCCCCTCCCATCAAAGGTCCAGAGGCCTAAGAGGAAAAAATTGTTTCATGGGCCAGGCCCAGGGCCCTGCTGCTCTGTGCAGCCTCAGGACTCGGTATCCTGCATCCCAGCCACTCCAGCTCTAGCTGTGGCTAAAAGGGGCCAAGATACAGCTCAAGTCATTGCTTCATGGGGTAAAAACCTTAAGCCTTGGTGGCTTCCATGTGGTGTTGGGTCTGCAGGTGCACAGAAGACAAGAGTTGAGCTTTGGGAGCCTCTGCCTAGATTTCAGAGGATGTATGGAAATGCCTGGATATTCAGGCAGAAGTCTGTGGCAGGAGCAGAGCCCTCATGGAGAACCTCTACTAGGGCAATGCAGAGGAGAAATGTAGGGTTAAAGCCTTCACACAGAGTCCCCACTAGGGCACTGTCTAGTGGAGCTGTGAGAAGAGGGCCACCGTCTTTCAGACCCCAGAATGGTAGATCCACCAACAGCTTGCACTGTGTGCCTGGCACTCAATGCCAGCCTGTGAAAACAGCCATTGGGGCTGTACCCTGCAAAGTCACAGAGGTGGAGCTGCCCAAGGTCTTGGGTCCCATCCCTTGCATTAGCGTGCCCTGGATGTGACACATGGAGTAAAATGAGATAATTTTGGAATTTTAAGACTTAATGACTGCCCCATTGGGTTTCAAACTTGCATGGGGCCTGTGGCTCCTTCGTTTTGCCAATTTCTCCAATTTGGAATGGAAATATTTACCCAATGCCTGTATCCTCATTGTATTTTGCAAGTAACTAACTTGTTTTTTATTTTACAGGCTCATAGGTGGAAGAGACTTGCCTTGCCTCAGATGAATCTTTGGACTTGGACTTTTGGGTTAATGCTGGAATAAGTTAAGACTTTGAGAGATTGTTGCAAAGGTATGATTGGTTTTGAAATGTGAAAAGACATGAAATTTGGGAGGGGCAAGGAGTGGAATGATATGGTTTGGGTCTGTGTCCCCACCCAAATCTCATCTCAAATTGTAATCCACACATGTTGAGGGAGGGGCCTGGTGGGAGGTGATTGGATCATGTGGGAAGTTTCCCCCCTACTGTTCTCATGATAGAGAGGGAGTTCTGACGACATCTGATGGTTTAAAAGTGGCAGTTTATCCTGCGCACACAGTCTCTTCTGCTGCCATATAAGATGTACCTTGCTTCTCCTTTATCTTCTGCCATGACGTTGAGTTTCCTGAGGCATCTCCATCCATGCAGAACTGTACTCTTCGCTTATAAATTACCCAGTCTGAGGTAGCAACTTTATAGCAGTGTGAAAACTGACTGATACACTAGTGTCATTACCTTGTATTTACAAATTAGTCCTCTAAAATAAATTGAATACCTAACATGAGCAATGTATTTTAAGTTCCTTAGGGGAAATGAATATAATATGGGCCCTGCCACGTACTAAAGTCTTAAGCTAAAACTTCAGAGTTATATTCACAATGATTTAATATAAGCTAGAGAGAATGCAATCAAGTAGAATGTGTAAAACCCTCTTTTCTTCAGTTTCCTTTTAGACATAGTGACTGATTCATGACCATTGAGAATTATGCTTTCAGTTTCTGTCACAAGGCACAGATGGATATGTATTACAGCCAAAATATTGAAAATGAGCATCTGTTAGGTGTTTTCTAATTAATCAAAAATAGACTTTAATGTTCCTTCCAGATATATAAAAGATAAAACAGAAAAGCAATGAATTTATAGCATTTTAGATAGGAAAGAACCCTTACAAAAGGTTAATAAATCACAACATTCATATATTTTTTAACTAAAAAAGTCCATAAGCCCTATGAACAAACATATTTTAAGTAGCTCTATTAAACATGTAAAAAATCATTAATAAAATTACCACCAGTTGTTTTTAATAATTAAAGTAAAATATTAAAAATATAACCCAAAACAATGATATATAATTAAATATTTTCTATTATGAAGTAATACATCAAAACATAATTGTTCAAATAATGGGTAAAAGTTCCAAGTAGAGATGTCGTTAGTAGTGCAGTCTGAATTATAAAGTAAAATAGAATTAATGGAAATTTATACATATATAAAAATAATACTTCAATAATTGAAATTGTAAGTAAAGTTGTTAAGATATGTAATTTCCCACAAAGTCTTAATTATATATTTAAAATGTACACAACTGTAACAAGAAACATTGATTTGTTGAGAAAGCTTACTAATCTCAGTAGATCTACTAGGTACTGGAGGTGGCTGTGTGCCATTGCGAGTAGGCATTGAAGACTGGTGTGATATTGGAGAAAATGGAATCATATCAAAGATGTCAGTGGAGGGCGACTGAGGTGTCATACTGCCTGCCTGCAATGAAAATAAATGAATTAGGGTAGTATTTCATATAGACACATTGTAATGCTAAATATTTCACATGCATATAAAATATATGTAAACAGCAAATTCAGTTGAATCATAAGAATCTGCCATTTTGTAGACCGAAAATAGTTAAGTATTTGCAATTTCATGTGGTTCCACTAATTATGATAAATGCTCATTTAGAAGAAAGCAATAGAACATTTCTGCAAAAATGCTCTCAAAGATGATGGCAAAATGGTAACAATATTATTCCAGATGAATATAAAAGATACAGTGAATTTTTTGGATATATAGAAATGATTGCTACTTATAACAGAGAATTAGATATAGTAGAAACTATTCATATAAAAATATGATTTCAGTAAGATACTCTGCATAAGATAACATTTCAAACAGGAAAAATTAGACATAAATGACTTGCCTTCTTAAATATAAACATTCAAATGCAATTGATTTTTTTGCATTCTCAAAAGTAGAGTATATTTTAGTTTGTATTTATAACAACAGTGGCAACCAACTGATATTCATTGCAGTACATTTTATTCTTGAAAGATTTCATCAAGTTTTCTGTAATAAATAGCTATCTTATAAAAACTAAATTAATAATCACCAATGTACTGCCCAAATCATTGAGTTTTCTGATACAGTCTGGGTCAGGACTAAATACATATAGGGAAAGATAAATGAAAACCTCATGAAAATAGAGCCGAGAAGTAATATCAAAATTAGACATTCATCACTTTGTAAAACAGGGAACAATATGTATATACGTATAATCTCCTTTGAAAACCATCTCACTTGATCAGGGATAAAAGAAAGAGAATTTCCATTTTGGGGGAATAGTGATGAAAAATTTGCTTTTCCTATGAGAACTTGGACAGAGATTGCTTTGAGTGGTTCATATTAAAAGTAGAATTCTCAGAATACGTTTAATTTTCTGATTTACAGATAATGCAGGTGATGAAAAAATCAGGCTTACGATGTGTAGAGTGATGGGTTTACTATTCAGCTAAAATAATTGTTAGTACATTATTTTTCGTGCAGGAAAATTGCTGTCATCCTCCTTTCTTTAACAATTTGTTTATTGTATCCCCTCACCCTATTCCTGTTACTCAGCAATACTATTCCCCTAATTATCCCATTCCTGTATCCCCTTCTCACTTCTATCTCTCTACTCTTTTTCATGATACAAAAATTCTAAAATCTTGGCTGTCATTAAAAGCAAAACAAACCAACCAAAAATTTATTTACTCTGTCCCTCTTTAATCTCCCAACTTCTATTTTCTTTTTCTTTTTCCTTTAAGGCTAAGCTCCTTGAAAGAGATACTACACTTTCTGTCCTAAGATTTACTTCATTCTATCTTTAACTCTTATCAATCTAGATTTGCTCTTTTTGCACTGAACTCTGCTGAAATTGCTTTTACCAATGATCTAATTTCCCAATAGTGATATCTGATAAATCATTTGAAGTATCTGTATTACTTTATATTTTTGTAAATTTCTACACTGGCACCACCCTCTACTTGAAACTTTCTGGTATCAGGTAATCAAAGAAAACAAAAATGGCACACAAAGCCTCCAGATCACATCACATTGATTCAAGATACATCTAAATTTTTGATAACTTTATAAATAGCACATTTTGGCAGAATTTAAACAAAATAAGTCGGATAATAAAAAGAATTATCTGCTTAGCAAATTACATGCGGTCTTGGGATGCTGCTCTCACTGACTGGCTTGGGAAAGCCACATTTAGAAGGTGGTGGTATTAATAGTCCCAGTGATAGTCTGGAATCAGGTGAGTTGACAGGAGTGACAGACATGGAAGAAATATTGAGACAGGGAGATGAATCACCACTACTACGCCAGAAAGAGGATGAGCATCTCTGAAACCCGTGTTGCTCATGATCAGACATATCGTGCAGCAGCTGTAAAGGAATGACAGAAAGAGAAATATCCTAAGAGGAAAGGCATGGAGGAAAGGAAAAAGTATACTTGAAATTTATTTGTAAAATGGTGTTTTGTTAAGATGATAAGATCATTTCACAATAACTTTTCTAAAATTAAAACATAGAGTTGGTTTTCCTATGTGATAGTCCTTAGATTCTGCATTGCTTAATTTGATGTTTTTTTACTGAAATATTACATTTTTAGATATTTTAAATAGAATATTGCATTCATCACGACCTAAGAGGAAGGTAATGGAGAGAAAAATGAAGAAAGCCTGAAGATTTATTTTGGAGAGGGCTTCTGTAATGAAATGGGAAAAGGAAGGATAGTAATGAGAGAACAGTCACAGAACTAGGAGTAAACTCTTCCAAATAAATTTATGGTTTTGTAGAATTTTCAAAAGAGCTCACAACATACATTTTATGTTTAATCCTCAAAACATTCTTTGAAGTATCAGTAGTAGTAATATTATGTCTTTATTACAATAAACACATGGGAATTAAGCTCCACAGATTCTTTGTGACTTACGACGGGAATTAAGGTCCACAGATTCTTTGTGATTTATTCTTATATGAGGTAGAAAGCAGATTCAAAATTCAAAACAGTCTGATTCTAATCATCATGCCCTTTCTATAGTCATGAGGAGCTCCAAACTGTAAGACTTTTAGGGGGATGGGAAGAGGTGATTGTCAAGCATCTCAAATAAATCAGAGAGATAATAAATAACAAGCAAGCAGTGTAGTAGGTCTGAACATCAGTATGTGCATGACTTTTAGGGGCTATTTCCATTACAGCATGGAAAGCTACTGTTAAGAGCTGAGCTGGAGAGAGCTGAGCTGCCAGATGTCACAGCGGCCAATTAAACAGCAGCCAAAATGGAAGTAATAATTAAGTCTGTATTCATTTACTACTATAGTATAAGCAAGAGGCCAGAGAGAAGGTGCCTGCCCTATCAATGCTCCATTTTCCCCACGGAATGGCATTGAGCAAGGGTCAGAAGTATCACTGCAGAAGTGAGCCTTTGTCTCATTACTTAGGGACTTCTGCACAAAAGGTTCCTAAGGGTTTTTCTTTGGACAAGAGACAGTGGGAGGGAGAAGGGAATGGCTAGCAGTAGAAAAGTACTGAATACTGAGACATAGTGGAGAAAAGCGGTCTCCAAGTCCCTTGAATAAGGTGGTCTCAGGAGAGGCACCTAAGGCCCTCTAAAAGGAGGCCCCTGAGTGGAGTTGCCTGGGCTATAAATGTAGATATGCACAAGAGCATAGCTGGCCAGGGGACCTGAGTACTAGATTCAATTCCTCCAAACTGTGCACTAAATACAATGTGATGAGGGCACCTTTCTCCCACCAAATACAATGTGATGAGGTGTGCCAGACAAAGCCTTTGTAACTGCCTACGCTCCGGCCAGAAAGATCCCACATAAAATTCTGGCTGGGAGCCACATTTCTCAGCTGCAAATCACATGTCAGAGATCTTTCACCACTAACAAAAATTCAGGGAGAAAACAAAAATCTGATTTTTTTATAAACTTTGTTGTAAAAGGTAGTAATTAAAATTAGTGAAGGACCAACAAGTCTGAGGTTATGTCCTTAAGCTAGGAGGACCCTCTTCACATATTTCCGGAAGCAGAGAGAAAAAGGAAGCCATGTAAAGTGAGAAATTAAGTTGAGGGAAAGGTTCAGTGTGGAAGCAAAATCTCTGCTAGTCTGAGTTATATAATTAATCACTCTATTAATATCCATATGTAAATATATAATTTTTGATTTCTCTGTTGATCTTCATTGTAATACACCTCGATCTATTTATGTAGAGATGTGTATGTACACAATTTTTAAAATCTATTTTTGTTCGATATAACTTACTGTATCATTCTGTCCTTGGTGGCCAACTTTTAATTATAGATTACAGTTGTAAGCTCTTTGTGAGAAAATTTTTGTTTTTTGTTCCCAAATACCCTATGTAACACATTAGTGTAAATGATATTTATTGTCTAATTTATACTAGAGCATCTTTTTACTTAAACTGTTAATTGATAAGGCTGTCTGTACTGAGTAAAGATAAGATATTAAGTGGAAATTGTCCTTGATATTATCTAGTTTAAAATATACATGGTAATACTCTATTTTTTTTAGGATATATATTGGCCACAATTCTTTACTAGGTACCTGAAAACAAACTGAAGGTCAAAATAACCTTACTTGAAAGTGCTCTGTTATTTTTATCATAGTGTTTGCAGTATTCTTATAGTACTACTTCCTCTGGGGAGGTAAATTTAACATAAATGAAGAATGTATACGATATAAAAATAATCAAGTATTTATACACTATAATCAAGAGGTTTTTTTCAATTTCAAAATGGTAAATCAGGGATATTTAATAATGTCAACTGTTCTGGTATCTAGAGTTTAAGACTCCAGAACTGTTCCTCACAGGTCTTCTTTGGGTCATCAGTAATTTGGCAGTTTTTGTTTAGATCACATGGGTCTTTTAAAGCATAGAATTAGGTGTTCCCAACACAAAGAAAAGATAAATGTTTGAGGTGATGGATACTGCAATGACTCTAACTTGATCATTATACATTATGTGCAGGTATCAAAATATCATCTCCACCCACAAACATGTACAACTAATATGTATCAATAAAAATTTTTAAATTAAAAATAAATTAATATATAAAAATAGATCACATATTAAAATCCAGAACTTTTCCCCAGAAGTTAGAAAATCTAGAATGTAGGCCCACACACTTGCATGAAAATAGTTGACTGGTATTGAATATCTGCTGTGTCTTTGAAGTTAGCCTGTGCTTTCAAATTTATCACTCCTACCATATGCCCATTTCACACTTGAATGTCATAATCTGGGCTATATTAAAGTTTGAGTTTTTGATTCCCAACCTAGAAGCAATTCAAGTCAAGGAATCAGATGTTATATCTAATTCCCTATAAAAATGAAATGTAAGTCCAGCACATTTAAATATATGGGTAAAGTTGGCACTTGATTCTGTACTAAATGGTTAGGCCTATTCAATAAGGATATGAACGTGCGGACATTAGCACCTAAATGACAAACAGTGACAATTTTGCATTTAGGTCCTAAGGTTCTGGAACCAGTCTTTTTTTTTTTTTTTTTTTTTTTTTTTTTTTGTGGCTGCTATTTTTAACTGGTTGAGGATGTTTATGTGTTTAAGTAATTAAGTACATTGTTTAGAAGAAAAACAGTTCGAGGAATTTTATTTTGGGCTTTCTGTCAGTATTCTGACAGATAGCTAGGAATCAAATTTTTTGGATTGTCCTACAGAAGTACATGGCACCACTGTTCAAGCAACTCCTTTATGTTCGTAGTTCCAGGTGTCTTGGTCTTTAGGAACATGCACAGAATCTGAATTATTATACTAAGGGGAATTCTGTGCAAAAAAATTATGTGTTAGTTATACAGAAGTTGTTAGGTTATTCAGATATATTAATAATGAGTGTCCATGTTTGAGATTTGTTTTTGCTACACTTTTGTAGCTCTTTTTCTTTTGTCTTTTTTTTTTTTTTTAAGTTCTGCGATACATGAGCAGAACATGCAAGTCTGTTACCTAGGTATACATGTGCCATGGTGGTTTGCTGCACCTATCAACCCGTCATCTAGGTTTTAAGCCCTGCATGCATTAGGTATTTGTCCTAATGCTCTCCCTCCCCTTTGTAGCTCTTTCTTTCAGTAAGTAGCATCTTGGTGCATTTAAGCAATGGTGAATATTTCAACCTTGAGTTTTATATAAATGTGATAACAAGAAGAAATATCCTAAAAGTGTTTGAATTCTATCAGTAAATATTAAATACATTTGAACAATAATAACAGAAACACTGCTTTTAAGATTAAGCAATTCTGTCATAATATGTTTAGAAATATTAGGATTATACTGAAATTTTATGTTTCACTGTTAATTGCACTGGCAATACAAATATCCAAAGACTTTTTAAACATAAAATACAAATGTCAAGATTAAAATATAGTTTATCACAACTACTAAAATGGCAGAGTTCAAAATTATATTTATAATTAAATTAAGAAATAATTAAGAAATAAATTCCCTTACATTTGTATATTAAAATAATTTTTTCTAATTAAAAAACCTGGAAAATTATAATTAACATTAAAGATGGAGAAAGAAAATGGTAGCATAAAATGTTCTAGCAGATGTTTCTAGATTACCATGCTGATTCATACTTTTAAAGTTAATTGTTATAACATATCTTCAATATCAGTTTTTAAATAAAGTTTAAAAGTAACGATTACAACTTACAGCACAAGGTCTGTGTTTTTTCAGATTTCTAGGTCTACAGTTGGTTTATATTGATCTGTTAGTTGTAAGACCTACTGTCTTACAGTTTTCACAAGAATCTTTCAAGTTAAATGGATATAATTGTACCACAAAGCGGAAAACTGCAACAAGGAGAGGCTAAATGACTTGACCAGGTACTTATGATCAGAACTGGAATGGGAACATATTTTTCTTCCCGTTAGACAGGGTTTATGCTTTTAGAATTATCTTGTGCAACTAACAATTATGAAAGTGAAGTTGTGGAATGGTAATCATTTTTTGTGGGCATCAAATGTTCTTGAACCAATTCATATTTAAAATTTATGTCTTTGTTTAAAGATTCACATTCAGCTTGTCGTGTAATTAAGACCTTTCACAATCTGCTCTTGCCCATTCTCACTTCAATAGTAGCAGAGAAAACACTAGAGGAAAATAAATAGATTCACTGTTTATCCACAATGAAATATACATTTTAGGCTATAATTGTCCTATCAAGTCTAATCAGTGGCCACACAGTTGATTATGTAAAGAAATAATTTTATCTAAGGGTTTAATTGAAAGGAAGACATTTGTTTTACTCAGCAATAGAATCCAGTATTCCCTAGGACTACAATTTTACTCACTTTGCTTCCTGGCAGTAGTCTGGTTTGGTTAAAACCTTCTATA